TAATTCTCATGCAAATATTAAATGAACATTTGTCAAAATTCTTACTTTTAGTAGTCCCGCCTTATCCACAGGGATACATTCTAAAATCCCCAGTGAATGTCTAAAAGTATAATACTGAATCATATATATATATATATATATATATATATATATATACATTTTTTTCCTATACTTACATACCTGTGTGATAAAGTTTAATTTATAAATTGTGGTCAGAGTCACAACAATAACTTCATAATGAAATAGAAAAATTATACCAATATGCTCTAATAAAAAGTTGTTTAAAATTTATAAATTATTTATTTCAGAACATTCTATGTAATATTGTTGGACCATAGTTGACTATGGCTAACTGAAACTGTGGAAAGTGAAACCTAGAATAAGAGAGACTACTGTGATTCATTGACTAATGAAGGAAACAGTAAGATGTTAAAACCAATTCAAAGGAAAGTTTTTAAGATCATGTATATTTAGGTAAATAGGAATGCTAAAATGAATTTTGAAATAGATGCAAAATGGGTCTATCTGCAGAGTGACAATCAACTGTGTTCCAGGTAAACAGAGTTAATCCACATTTTTATGAGCATGAATCATTTGTATTATCAGTGTTCTACAACTGTAAATGATAAAAATAGCCCAAAATCAATGAAAGGCTAAGATAACCAGAAGGATGCACTGAACAGGATAGCCAGTAATCTTTTGGGTCCATTTTAAAGTTTTTCACAATTTATTCCTCCTTTTTCCTCACTGTACTATCATGCTCCCCACTTTCATACATAAACATACACCAAAAGTAAAAAGAAATCATCAACCACTCTAGACTCACAGGTTCAAAAATTTAATAAGACTGAAAATTACCAAAATCCAGTATTTCTAATCTGATTCCCTGCAAATTTTAATTTCCATTTTGAAACTAGAGCATGGGACTGAGACTGTCATGCATCAAAATAACACACCTGCTAAGCTATTCTGATTTTGTATAAAAATCCCGCCCCCAATTTTTTTTTCAAACAGATATATGGAAAAGTAAAAGAAAGGAAAGTAATGAGAGAAAAGGGGAAAGTTAATTGTTAATTACAGACCATGTATCTAGGAGCCTCCCGCTCTTGCTATTATCTGTGGTGACTTAAGACTAATTAACCAAGAGTACCTTGTTTCTATTTAGCATGTTTTAAAACATTTTTTCTAATTGTCAATGGATCTTTTATTTATTTATTTTTTATATGCAGTGCTGAGGATTGAACTCAGGGCCTCACACATATCAGGCAAGCACTCTACCACTGAGTCACAATTATTTAGCATTTTTTAAACAAAGTAATTGATTTTTATCATTTCATTGAATGCTTCTGACTCCATAATAGCCACTAATAAACCACTTAGGAATTTTATAAGTGAATTTGATTGTTACTGTTTTCTTTTTCATAAATGGGACTATGGTAATGACTAAGTAAATCATAAGCTTTTTGTTTATGGAATGAATAATTAAGCTTGCAAATAGATGACCAGATAAAAACATAGATTATTCATTTGCCAGGTGTGTCTTTTTTTGTTAACTTCCTAGAGATGGGAAAACTAAATGTCAAAATCATATCGTCCCTTCTAATGCTTCTACCCATTTTTTAAAGAACTCACTTGACCAGTTTTTATTCATCTGGCAGTAAAACTGCTAGCAGAAAGAACTTTTAAATTACCCAAATTGAACTTCAGTAATAAGAGTCTTCTTATTGTATATTTTTACATCAAAATGATTAATATACTGATTTAAGAAAACAAAACAAAAATGATTGCATTCCATTTTATATGATCCACATTAAAGGTTCTAGCCCAGCAAGTGCTATTCAAGATGAGACTTCTGAAAGTTACATTTAAGCCTTCTAACTTGCCTGCCCTCTCACTGACCTTGCTCCCTCCCACTTGTGGGCAGAAAACTCAAGATAGTAAATAGAGAGTTGGGAGACCTAGGGACATGGGGGAAAGCTTTATAAGAAAAGCAGTTATTATTCATTTAGCCATTTGCACTATCAGATATTTTTCTTTTGAAATATAATCTCCTGCCTTCAACAAGAGAGAATATATTATATCATACAGTGTATGCACTAGAGAAATTAAGATGACTGCCAAAAGACAGCACCACTTAAAAACCAAATTGTTTTTAATTGGTGTGAACCTGACAAAGACCTACAGATAGTGGGTTGGGCAAAATGCCAGTGAAGCTGTTTTACATTTGATAAGACTCTCATTTGGGAAACATAAAGCAGATGTTTATTGTTTTTTTGCTTTAACCCTAAATGTCCACAAAGTCAAACTGCACACACGCACATAGATACACACACAGGCATGTATATATTTTATATACACACACATATGTATGTACATGTTGAGTATATAAGATATATGTCTTAAATGTGTTGCTTTAAAATTAATATTTCATCTACTACAATAAGTGCATGAGACTTCAGTAGCAGGTTTTTTTCTACTTTGTGTGCTTTTAGTGTATCATCCTGGTTCTGGAAAGAGAGCAAATGCAAAAGCATTCGTATTGTAGACAAGGGGAGCTGAGGGTGCAGTTTGCACATCAATATGCATTTTAGATTTCATCTGGGTTCTAAATTTAATCTGGGACTCACTTTGGAACATAAAGCACAAACAAATAAAGTTAATTACTTATAATTTTATAAACTTATATATATATAAAGAGATGAACCCTAAGACCTAAAACAAGTTTGGGGATTACCTATGAATCTCAGTGTGTGTGGCATCCCTACCAAATGTTCTGTTCTGTAGCAGGGAAACTACAACCCACAGACTGGATCCAGACCCTTCCATCATCCCTCCTGCCTGCCCCATTCTTATAAGTAAAGCTTTATTGGAAGTTAACCCCTACTCACTTGTGTGATTCTTTCATGCAACAGTCCTTGCAATGGAAACTGCATGGCCAAAATAATGTAAGTTATTTTTTGTATGGCTCTTTACAGGAAATGTTCGCTGACCCTTGTTCTATTGRTCATTGAAGAGGGCTATTAAAAGTAATAAAACAATATTTTTTATTGTTGGAAAAATTAATAAGGTGCAATTCTTTTCTATATGAAAACAAAAGTTGGTACTACATTATTAAAGAAGCACTATTCCATACACTGTCATTAAAGTTGTCAGGCAAGTTATTCGTCTTATGTATGGAATAGCTAAATGTGGACCTTCGTGTCTACACCAGTGTTATAAAATTTAGTGCTCATGTATTTGTGTATTTCTTGTTCCAGGAAATCAGGCATATTCAKACTGAATGTGCAATAAGAGGTTTTTGTTGTTGTTGTTGTTTTGGCAGATAGACACAATACCTTTATTTTATTTATTTATTTTTATGTGGTGCTGAGRATTGAACCCAGAGCCTCACACATGCACTCTACACTGARCACAACCCCAACCCCTGCAAATAAAAGATTTAAAATGGTTTTCAGATTTGATTTTATATTTTCAACAAGCTACTACAGGTAGCATTACTTAAGGAGAAAACACTTTTTAGTCTTTTAGGGTACTATTTCCCTGCCCCAAGTTCTCTACATACCAGAAGATATAGAAGTCAAAAACAGAAGGGGKAGGTGAAATTGTGGTGACAGTTTCTTAGGAACAGTTCTGGGTGGCCATCCCATCCTCACCCACCCTTCTGACAGGCCATGATAACCTTTGTTCTCTCCTAGTGGATTCCTCTTCAAAGGTAGCTGGGGTCAAGTCCTTCCTGAAAGGTCTCTTGCTGGGCCTCAGGGCAGCATGTATACTTTAGGAAAGGCTGGATCTCCCAGCCAGACCACCTCTGTTGCACATAAAGCCCAGGCTTAGGCCAGCAAACATCTTTGTTATAATCTTTCCAGTATGAAAAGTTGCACCGGTTTGCTGTTAGAAGTTCAATTTTCCTGAACTAGATATAAACCATTTGCACTTGTTAGGATTTAATGCCGTAACTGTCTTATCAGTCTTTTCTTTTCGGCCAAAGTCAAGSTTAAGAAGCCAGGTTTGCATGCCTTCCCAGCATGACTCCCTGTGCAAAAGCATTAGAATCATGGGGGAAAAARAATTCCAAAGTTTTTTTCCTCAGATTATTTTACTAACTTTTTGGAAAAGTTAGCGATTCCCTCTGGGTTTTTTCCCCCATAGGCCCCTCTCAAGGTCATTACAGTTATGGCCATGGTTGATTAATGGGGAGGAAAAACTTTTTTTAATTTGGATATTTTCCTACATTCTGGAGAAACTCAGAGAAAAACCAAATTCTTCCTGGTGTAGCTTCTTTCAGGGTGGAGGGAGGAAGACGTTGAGTTGAACAAACTGATACGAATGCAGAACCTCTCATTTACTGACACATGCCTGTGGATTTAATTTGTAGCATGGCTTTTCACTATGATATAAAAAGAATTGGAGTTCAGACTAATTCAAAGAATGTGTGAGGAAGAAGACTGCACCATTGGAAACTTACAAAAAAAACAAACCTCTTTTTTATAAATATAAATAAATCTTAAGAAGCACATTGAGTAAAAAGCAAAGAAAGTTACAGAATATGAGATCCAGGCTTAAAAAAAAAATCTTCCTTAAATATCTCCCAGGGCTTATTCTGTAATAGTTTTTAGTATCAGTATTAGTCTGCTTTAAGAATAGCCAGTATCATGCAAGAGGCACAAGTGTTGGGATTTAGAGCGAGGAAAGGAATCACCAATTCCCTGCTCTGAAGAGCTACCACTGTGGGTGCAGAGCCCTGAGTAAGCAGGTGGTCTGTGGCAGGAATGTCTTGCAGCTGGGAGTTCACATGACATGAAGCAAGCAATCCAGAATCAGTAGCCAATGAGCTCATGAACTAAACTGAAGCTCCATCACAGGACAGGGTGGAGGAGCCCTGGGCACATCCTGAGCCAGCTCTGGGCAGCAGAAGCAGGTGCCATGCATCCCCTCACAAACCCAGCTCTCTACTGCCTCGCACTTCTTATCCTGTCCTCTTGTTTGCTTGCCGACTGCAGGTTCATCCCAGAGGCCTGGTCAGCCTGCACAGTCACTTGTGGTATGGGRACCCAGGTGCGAGTAGTCAAGTGCCAAGTGCTCCTGTCTTTCTCTCAGTCCGTGGCTGACCTGCCGGTGGATGAGTGCGAAGGGCCCAAGCCAGCATCCCAGCGTGCCTGTTATGCAGGACCGTGCAATGGGGAAATTCCTGAGTTTAACCCGGACTCCACAGATGGGCTCTTGGGTGGCCTGCAGGATCTGGATGAGCTGTATGACTGGGAGTATGAAGGGTTCACCAAGTGCTCCGAGTCGTGTGGAGGAGGTAAGGAGAGAGCCCCTGGCTTAGAACCCACCCCACACACACACACATCTTTTTTCTGTCTCTTCTCTCCCTGCATGCAACTGTGTCATGTGATTGCCTCTATATCAAGAATGATAAGCAGGGGCAGAAAGGGAGGCAGCCATTCTAAAGGTAAAGCAAGTGTAAATCGAACGAATAGATTTGATTTCTGTGTCTGCTGAGTGGCCCCAGGCTGTCAGCTGTGAGTGGCCAACAACTCACGCCTTTGCTTTCAGTTGTCATTCTGATGTTTTGTACTCAACATTGACTTGTTTATCTGAGCTCTTGCTTCCGTGTTTGTGTGTGTGTGTGTGCGCGCGCGCGTGTGTGTGGTGTGAATTAATACCCAAAGTACACCACCACACTCTGCTGTTCTCAAGAACAAGTTAGGGTCCTTACAATTTACTCAGCTGGTTTTCCAAAGAAAGGGAAAGGCAGTGTAAAGATTATCCAGCACAGTGCATACCTGGAGCTGGAAAAGATTTTAGTGATCAAAGCCAAACCCCACTCCATTGTGCAATGATATGCAAAAGAGCGAAGTGACTTGTTGAAGACCTCACAGCTAGTGAGTGACAGAGCTGGGACTAGGCCAAAGCTGCTGCTCTGTCTACAATCTTTACATGCTAGCACACTTCAAGCATGTAGAGAATTCCTAAAGCTTTCTTATTATAAATATTATTCAACTAATGGCCATCATTTCCAGGTACATTCATCTGGTTCTCTTGGGTATACTCTATGGTGACATACAAGTAGCTTACCTAGTGATTTTTTTAAATTACTTAATTAACCACTCATCTATGGGTACCTAGGTGTTTCAATGTATGTATATATTATAATATTACAATACATTGTAAATATTAAACCAAACTGATTAGCGTATCTCTTTAGTAATTTTTTGTTTCAGGTRTTATAAACAGGATTGTGACAGAAAATCAGTTCTTTAAGATCATGATCTTTCTCACCACTGTAGAAAATGCCTTAAATTCATATTATCACTCACTGTCTCACACCTACTCCCAAGAGATTTTTGATAGGTTAGGAAGTGCCACTGATGTCCTGTCATATCCCTCTTGCTGGTCATCAGTAACCCCTTTGGACATGTTGAGGTTCCACATTCCCAGAAAATTTCTTCCATTGCTGGTGAAATAAAGTATGCAAATTATTTCCCAAAACTGTTTTCTAAACCATGACATTTGAGAAACTCTTCTAAAGGAATGAATAATGGTATAAGTACCAGCGAAGAATCCATTTAATCCAGCAGGTCTTTTTAAACTTTTAGTAGTTCTGACCCTGAAGTTCTTGTTTGTTTCTGATCTTCCAGTTTCCAACCCTGGAATTACAGAGTGATTTAATGGAAATCCCTGGTATCTTAAAACCTAAATTCTTSCAAATAATTCTGGGAGACAGTTTCTCGGAACTCAGCTGATCTAACTGTTTTCACGTGCCGTCCTTCCACTCATTTTCAGGACATTTTTTCTTCTATGCCTAATGAGAGAGTAGTGTGTTTAATAAGCTTTGGTGATCTGTGAGCCCCAGCAGAGCTGAGAGTCAGGGAGAAGAGCTGTGGCCCTGGCCCAAAGGAGTGGCTGCAGTTGTTCCTTTCTACTCTGAGCAATGACTCAGAGTTCAGATGGTTGTGTTTTTAGCCCCAATTTCCAAGATCACCTGAATTGAATGATCATTATTTCTAGTAAAAAACAAATGTGCTTTGGAAAAAAAAAAAAAGTATTTATGGTCTCTCCGTTATGGCTCTCGGTTACAAGTCAAGCCTGGAACTTTATGAGCAGGTGGAAAAAATAGATGCAGTAATGGAATATATAAATAACCGGATGCCTTTATCTTTAAGAGTCAATCCATTCTACTGACCAACCAGGGGTTTAAAACTGAAAGTCCAGAGTGGAATGTATTAATTTTAAGTGTTTTCAGAAGAATTTGATTTAGAAATAAGATTCAAATGTTGGATACACAATTGATCTCTACCTGTAGGATCTGAGTGTCTTTGTATAACAAAATTATATATCCTTTACATCTAAGGAAGGGTAAAATTACTAAAATTCCTTAGGTCTTTAACTGTCATCAATTGATCACACTTACCTACAGTTATATCACTGTGCCAAGGTAATATATTTACACCTGAAATGTTAAGAGTTGAAAATTCCAAAGTGGTGAAAATATACTTGGGTTATATGGTCTTATACTATGCCCATATGCATTAACAAATTAGTTCAATGTGTGGGTCATGTATTTTCAAGTCATTGTTTGGCAGTAAGTTTTTATTGTATTATCAATTTTGATCTTTCACCAAAATATAACCCACAAGATTAAATATATTCTTAAATCATTTTTGCTGAAACCAACCCTGTATAGGATTAACAAATAGATATTAAATCACTTTGGGGTTGTAGAGCCAGTCAGGCCAATCGTATTGTTTCTGTAATCTCAAAGAGATGAAATTGGCTAGACACCAAAGTCACCTTTCACCTAGAAGAAGTAGTAACCGGAAGGAACTCGTTAGTAATGTGCTTGCCAAGCTGTCATCAAATATCAAATATCATGTAACAATTACGCAGTTCTGGGGATATAAACACAGAAAATCCCATTTTCTGGAAAACTGAAAGTGAGCCTAACCTGCTCAGATCTGTATCCTTTGTCCTACTATTATCTCATTTTTTATATTTTAATTTCCCACAAGTGAATTGATAGGTGTGGTCAAGGAMAGCAGTTTTGAACCTGAGCAGCTGAGTTGAACTCCTAGATGCTGAAACTCAAATTTAAATCTAGCTGGGGGAAAACTTGAAACTGACTTTAGCAAAAATGGAAGGTGAAGACTTGTACCTGTGGCTCCTTTTTCCTTTTGCTAGCCAAGAAAAGGAAAGCCCATGTGGTGTGCATGTACAAATATGTAACAACAAATCCCACCATCATGTACAACTATAACGCACCAATAAAAAAAGTGGAAGAAAAGGAAAGAAAGGAAAGCCCAGAGTTGTAAGGAACTGTACTTACACATGGGTTCTCTTTTCAGTTAAAAGTTTCCATTTCAAGGCATATATGTTAACCCTTCTGGAAAGAACACAAACTTAGTGAATTAACCTCTCCCATCCTTGCCTGTCTCTCCTGTGCCAGGTATGGGTGAACCCAAAGGTAAGCTCCTCTTTCCAGGGCAGCTCCTTTACTCCAGGCTCCTGCCCTCAAAGTTCCCATTTGCCTTAACAGTCTGCTTGCTTAGAATACCCTGCTCTTTACGCGTCATACTTTTTCATCCTACAAAAATTTATTATGTATTGATTTAAAAAAAAAAAAAACTGGTCCCAGATACTCCTTAATTTTGACAGAACTTCTGTCATGGGTTTCCCCACACCTCAGGCCCCACCTAAGAATGCAGAGACAGCTGGCCCGTGGCAAGAGATTTAAAGCACAGTGTGGCAGGRGCCTAGTACATTGTTTTATAATACCTTGGATTAGAATTTAGTAACTCTGGAATGCTTCCTAATCTCAGCACTTAGCCACCCCATGGTGATCTTTATCTGTAACTATGATTAATGGTTGGCAATAATGTAGGTTTGTGTTTTACATAGCGAAGAGAGGAGATTACTAATGCCCTTTTAGAAACTTAGCTCTTACCCCCATCCCTTGCAGTCTTAGAAGAACCTAAATTCTATAGCTAAAGAGTCCATCAAGTGGATGGAAACAGCCCATCCCGCACACACTTCATTCCAATAGCAGGTATGTGACAAGCCCCACGGTCCCTTCCTGCCATGGCTGAAAAAAAAATCAAACTATATCTTATTTTAGAGCAGCATTTCAAATTTCTTAAACACTACCAAGTAAGCAAATGAATGGAAAACTCCATTTTTAGCATAATCACAGCTCTAGATTCTGTATGGAATAGTAAGCTATATTCAGTGGCTGGTCATCATGACCTTGATGCCAAATGGATCCAGTGAGAAATCAGTGATGATATCAACAGTTTCTTGGGAGCTGTCTGCTGCATCATCATACCATGAATTCCAAATGGTTCCGTCACAGAAATCATCATATGTCAGTATTACAGAATATGGTGGAGTAATTTGAATATCTAGTGCGAATCTCAAATTCTCCACCTTGAACGGGCCATCACATAGGCAAATTAAATTTTTTTGAGGTGGGTGGTAGGCTTCAAACCAGGATCCAATTAAACTTTGAAGCGATAAGAACTTAGAAGAAAGAAAATGCAAAGATCCCATCATGGCCACAGAAAAATCCTATGATTGAGACCAAAAACATGTTTGATTTATCAGACTTAGAAAAAAGAAAGTAAGTTGATTTGGATCCTGGCTTTAGAATGCCAGTTTTTAAAAGATGGTGTTGCTGAGCAACCTAGATCAATTTAACATCAATTTAGGAAGCATTATCCTGTTGAGTGGGATGAGAATGGCTTGGAGAAACCTAGGGCGTGAAAGGGGAAGGACAGTGATAGAGCTAACAAGCATTGGGACAACTTGTGTTATGTTTGCTACCATTGAATGAAGAAATGCAGAAGATAAAAAGAGATCAAGTATGTACATAAATAACTACATGGATAGTGAGACTATGTTATAACCATATATACAAATGTCTAACTATAGATAGATAATCTTTAGWTGTAGGTATCTTTATATATATAACTGTGTATGGATGATAGCAAATTAGCAAGAATGTCTTGTCTCTTAAACTGAACTCTGCTGAAATGATTCCAGACACATGTCTAGGTTATTTCTGAAGATCTCTAGGGAAACAGATATGACAGCCTCTTAGTATTTTTAAATGATAATGCTCTCAGGCAATGCTAAGGGCGCAATCGACCTCCACTTCAACATTTAGCAACTGTATAACATTAGACAYGTCTTTTTACCCTTCTAAACCTCAGTTTCCATTTCTGTAAAGTGGGTATAAAAATAATACCTATCTTGCGGAATTGTTGAAAGAGTTATGTGCCAAGCCCTCAGCTGTGGTACCTGCCTAGTAACGGGCACTCTGTAGATGTTAACTATTGTTATTATGACTGCAGGTAGCAGAATGAAATATTCCATCAATCCATGAATTATTTAAGTGTTTCCATGCTTTATGAAAGTCTCCATAAGGGATCTGGCAGAACACTTTGAAAGACTTGTGCTGGTAATTACTCAAAGTCCTGTTTTACTATTGCCAATTCAGGTGTGCAGGTATGAATGGAAAGATTGTTTACCATGCCTGTCATTATTATACTTCTTATTCTTCTTGTTCTAGCTTCCAAAGTTGCCTAGTTCCCTACAGAAATGAGCCAAAATCAAAAGGAAATCAGTAGAGGCTGATGTCCTAGATACAAGACCCTAAGAGCACAGCAGTTTATAGAAAGTTAGATATTAAGCTGTGGCCTTTGGCCTCCCTTCCAATACAACAATCTCCTGTTGATTGAATGTGTGAAGAACTTTGCAGTTTTTTGTTAGCTTTGGGTTTCTTTTACCCTGTGCTCTTTCTGCATGAAATGATGACATTTCGGCATGGTGGTTGCATAGATTGGTGGAATATTTTTAAGCACTTCAACAGTGTTGATAGCAGCCTGTCTTTGGGAGGAATTGCCCTTCTCAAGGGGCATACTTATAGTGGCCACAAGCTCATGAGTTCCTCCTTTCAGATCAACTGATGCGTGTGTGTGTGTGTGTGTGTGTGTGTGCGTGTGCGTGCGCGTGGCACACACATGCGTGCATGCATGAGTGTTTATATGTGTGTGCATGCATGAACTCATGGATGTGTTTTGCAGGAGATTGAACCTGGGGCCTTTTGCATGCTAGGCAAATGCTCTACCACTCAGCTACATTCTCAACCCTGGACAGAGTAATGGTTGACAAGATTGGCAGGCCTGGGCTTTTAACTGTTGCCTCTCACATGGATCGAGAGTCCTACTGATCACAGAGACCTCCCACCAGCTGCCTTGTCTACACTTCATCACCCACACACACACCCTCTTCACTATGGCCTAACAGTGTGATCTGTACACAGGTGTCCAGGAGGCTGTAGTGAGCTGCCTGAACAAACAGACTCGGGAGCTTGCTGATGAGAACCTGTGTGTGACCAGCCGCCGGCCCCCACAGCTCCTAAAATCCTGCAATTTGGATCCTTGCCCAGCAAGGTAAGGGACATGTTGCCGGCCTTGCCAGCCAGGAGTGTGTGCAGAACTGGGTGCATCTTTCCATGGGCAAGACCAGAACACTTATTGTTACCCAATGTTTTGAAAACCAATTAGCATCAGTTCAAACTTTCAGTCAAATCCACTTAAATTTAATTGAAACCAGAGCTTTGGAATTCCAGCCCAATCAATGGTCATGCACAGAGTCCAGAAGGCTTCATGCACTGAAGCGAGCCTTATGGCATGGCTGGTATGTGCACGTGCCACATTGTTGCTTTCCCCTAAAGGCAAAGTGAACTGACCACAGATTTCATAGATTCTGTCGCCTTTTAGCCTGTGTCCCAAGCCCTCTTACCATAGTAATGAATTGACTTGTGACTTATAGGGTCTAAGGAACTGAAGCATCTGGGTGGTATAATTGACCCACTGTGAAATCTGTAGGCACACAGCATGCAGATTCATTATAGCACGCTCTGGGGTGTGTGTGTTCATTCCACATGCGTAAAATCAATTAGAGCATTTCATTGTTTGGCCCTGCCTGGGTCTCATTATTGCCCAACTTTGAGTCTTAGTTAATCAATCCAATCACTGCTTCAGTCCACACAATTTTATGGTGTCTGGAGAAATTTGCCTTTTAGATACTTCTTTTTGAGCAACTATCCTCTATGATTCTGCTTTGGAGACATTTAAAGAACCAAAGCCAGACTTTCAAATATGCTGATGGAATGAAGAATGTGCCTGGATGAGCTCATAGCCTAGATATGAAAGGAATGCTATTGCTGAGTGACGTTTCTCTTCCTTTTGCAAGGTATATCATGAGAAGCAGAATTTGCTTTCAGGCATTAACAATAGTTTGCTGGTTAAGCCTATGTGCTTCTTGTCTTATTTCTTATCCAGCTAGAGGCCTTTCTTTGTGACTTCAAAGAGACAGATCACAGGCCTTTACCAATCATATGGGGATACACTCCCATAGTGTCACTTCTGCGCATCATCAGAATTGTTCAATTTTTCATCAGAATGGTGGTCCTGGGCTTTCCCCTTCATACAAAAGTGGAGAGAGCCACTCATGGCACACTGTCCATGGCAACCAGAAAATAGCCACTTCTTTGAGCAGGATCCCCTTCCCCACCATAAGAACAGCAGCCAGTGAACAGAGTCAGGGCTGGACCAAGCAAAGCTCAGATCCAGTACATGAAATCCTAAGTAATCTCTTTTTCTATCATGGCCCTCATGTGGTCCCATATCTCTATCCTAACCTCACAGCTTCCAGTTCAGTGAGCCCAAGATTCAAGTGCTTGAGTGAAGGGTGCGGACTTTTCTATTTGAATACAGTGGAGTAGATCCAGCATGGACAGCCTGCAAGGCCGTTGGCTAGGAGGTCAGGAGACCTGGCTTATCACCTTCTTCTGTCACCAACTAGCTGTGTGGTGCTCTCTCTTTCCACATTTATGTTGTAAAGATGATCTGAGGTCACCATGTCCTACTCAAGGATCCCATGATTCTTCATTTTCTGTAAACAGAAGCATCAGATCGCTATTCCTGCTTCATTGTGCTGATAATGGCTATCATTTCTGTCCTTATTTATCATCACTTAAAAAACAAGAAGGGTCTTTTCTAACCTCATTCCAGTGCTGTGGTAACATCCAAATGCTGTGATGAGCTGAGACGTTGCCAAGGAGTTGGTGCCAAGGACTAGTTGAAAACTCCTGGGGTTTGTGACCACTCACCTGCTCCTTCCTTGTTCAATAAAAGGAATATAACAGAAAGTGTTATTTCCCATCCTCAAAGTACTAACTGTGATTGATAAGTCTAATTCACTCTGTGACCTTTTTATTGACTCAAGGACCATTGTTGGGTTAGCAGGATTATGTTTGTTCTAAATAATCTTTGATTTCCCATCACCCAGCTATGGTAAGACCTCTAAATGGCCACAGATTTCTTGGGTTACTGTACACAGGCAAGTATCTGTAGAATGATGCTAATTAAAACATTAAGTGGGCAAAGTAGAGCAATCAGATAGGACTCATTCTCTTCATTTCCCACCTGAGAGCCAAAGTTGATTTTCATCTTAAAAGTGAAAAATATATAGGCACCTCTCCTGTGGAATATTTTAGTCTAATATCAGGGGAAAAAATCTGTCTTTTTACTCTCCTTGGTGCAAGATTTATGCAAAAAGGGAAATGTGTTTGATAGAGGCCTAATAGCGCACCATTTATTCCATGCACCTTCCATCCAGTGGGAAATGATTTAGTTCTTTGATTCACAATTCTTGTTCCACATGGTTCAGTGTTTCCTCTGCATATTGGTGTGTCTTCTAATGAGTCCTAACTTTATGTATGTGATCTTTTAGGTTCTTGGTCTGTGCTGATATCCATGTGTTTTAAAAAGAAAGAATAGCATTTTCTTTGGGACATTTAGAAATATTGCAGGTCTTGACTTTTGCCTGTGAAGTGGTGCTAGGTTAAGATAAGACCCTTCCTGGGCAGTTATTAGTCCTGCTGAGCACTAGTGAATAAGCCATTTTACCTCTTGCATATGGCCAGAGTTATCTGATCCTGAGGAGTATATCAAGGACTCTGGAGAGTAAGATCTGAGTTTTGGAGCTGTCTTTCTAAAATTAAACTTGACTTCTCCTGACTTGCTCTGTGTGGTCAAAACTTGTATCAGAAGCACATGTCTGACTTTCACCAAGTTTAGGCAATGACATCGTCCTATCTGGTTATTCACAGCAGGAAGGATGTGTTCTCAAGCTGAAGGGGTTCTACTTTTTCCAATCTGTGAGTATGTATAGACATGGGCATGAGTGTGCATGTGAGTAAGGCTTACATTTTTAGGGTAATTTTTTAAATAGTGGTTTTCTGTTGAAAAAGACTGGATTTGAAAGTCTTTGGTATAAACTTTATGTCTTGTTCCTCCTTTCTCTATCCCAAGCATCTGGGAATTGACATATAGCAGATGTTTATTAAGTATTTATTTAACAAGCATACAGGAAGGACTAGGGCCATATTTGTAAGCTGCAATGTTTAGGCCCTATTATTATCAGTAGCAGGAAGACCTCAGTGCTCTCTCTCCTCTCCATTCCCTTTTTCTCCCCTCTTCTATCTTCTACTTAATGCTGAAAATGCCATTTTTGGACTCCTTTCCTTTATGCCTTTAARTATCAAACATATAAATATCAAATATTGAAATACCAAAATATAAATTGTCTTAGGATTATAAGATTGTATGTTATCAACCATGTACAGCAAAGTATCCCCAAAGCAAGCATATAAAGGCAACGGAAGGGAGAGCACTAAAGGTTGAGGAAATTGCTAGCACTACCCAGAGAGGAGTGTAATTGTCAAGAAGGATGGAAGGTCCTGGGTGAAGGGTAGATGGTAATCTCTTCATGACTTTGCCTAACACTGGCCATAAGAAATTAGGACCACTTTTGCCTGTGAATCACCAATGAGAATTTTCCTTTAAAGTTGATGGCAAGGAGTAATCAATACAAGGAGGGAAAAAAATCATCTGTGCACCTTTACCACTGTCTGAGGACTTTGTGTCCAAAAGTCACACCACCTTGCCAGCCTTTCAGTGGTGCCTTAGACAGGCTCAGGGAAGAAATACCCCTAAACAATTTAAGATCCATCATTGGGAAAGAAATCACCTCCTGTTCCTAATCAAAAAGTTATCTAAGTATACTAATTATTAATTATACAGGTAACACATAAAGAGGCTCATTGGTTAAAACTCAAGCAGAGCAGGATTAATCAAAAAAGCAAGGTATATGATCCTCTTTTACCTCCATACTTTAGGTTCTAGTTTTTCCTCTCCAGAGGTAACCACTGCTAATGGCTTGGTGCGTGTACTTTAGGGGGTTTTCTATGAATACATACATGAGCATCTAAAAATACATAAGGTTTTGTACCTGTATCAATGAGGCTTTTATAAATGAGATCTCATTGCATGTATTGTCCAGCAACCTGATTTTTATTTAACTTAATATTGTTCACTAAAGATTTTTCACATCCCTGGGATTCTCAAAATACAAAGACTAGAACATACATTTAGACCCAGRATCAAGTCCTACTCTGTCACTTTTAGTTGTCTAATCTTTGAGAGGTCATATATACCTTTTTGGATCCTCACTTTCCTCATCTTTAAAATAGGATTATAGCAGTCACTATAATCATTAATATCATTATGATCATCAAGCAATCATTGTCTTCTCCTTTTCTTTCATTCTGGTTGTGTGTGTGTGTGTGTGTGTGTGTGTGTGTGTGTGTGTGTGTGAAACACTTCTAGTTTAAAAGAAAGCATGATTTTTGTAGACTTTTAAGACCTAAATTTGATGTTGTTTTTATTTGACTAACTTTTATTAATTACACTCGCTAACTATCTCCCTGGTTTATAACAGCAGTGACATGAGCAGCCCAAGGAAAACCAGAAAGCACTACCTTTAAAAAAAAGTGCATGGCTGTTATTAATTATAAGCATTTGATAGCTTGGCCAGCGTGTGTTGAAAAGATTTGGTAAATGTATGTGGAGGAGGGGAGCAGAGTAAGCAATGAGAGCCAGATGGCTGAAAATGAAGGAAATTCCAGGCAATTTCTGCAGCTTTGTTCTAACATACTTTTTAAACTAAACTTTTATTTCTGTGCAACAGAGAACAGCTGAGTGGTACAGAATAGATAAACAGTGAGGAGGGACGAAAAGCCCCTAATTCCAGGAACGGTGCTTGGTTTCTGCCCTCTTCCCCACCCCATCTCAGTCTCTTTGCTCAGACCTAGGATGGTTCTTACAACCAGCAAGAATCATAAAAGAAGCCTGAGAATCCCTATTTGGAAAAAAATAAAAAGAGTTCAGAAAAACTTCTTAAAGGTCAGAGTCTCCTCTTTAAAAGCATTCTTCAGAATGCCCATTTTATTGTACACTAACAAAAGCCATACATACTAGCAGCACACGATTTCCAATTTCAAATTTTTTTTATATTAACTTAAAATAGCCAGAGCAGAAGGTGT